GTTTATCATTAAGTACTACGGCTGTAAAAACTGTTGCTGTGGTTTTGATATACAGTTTAATTCAAATATATCAGTAGAAAATAAGAGTACAAGTACCCGTAATAAGTAAATGTAACAATCCTGTTACAAAAAAACAGCAAGCTTTAGACTGGAACGTCTGAAACTAGCATAGAAATGAATAAATAACCCGAGCACTTTTGAAAGGTGGGCCTTTCTTCTTCGGGGGAAAACGGTTATAGGGTTTTTATTCATTTCTATCAAGACTTCTTGAACCTACGTGTTTTTCTAACATCATGAAGCTAGCACGAGTATTGTTTGAAATAAGAAGCTGTTGTTTTATTGTATGTGGTGGATTCACAATAACGTAAGAGGTAGTCTTTACAATGTAAAATTTTAAAAAGTAGTTTGAAAACATTATTTATAACTATGTAATTGAAGTTGTGTAGCTTTGAAATTGTTTACTTCATATTAATCTTTTGAAGAATGTTATGAGACCATTTAAATATTGCAACACTAATTTTTTTAATCTTGATAAACCTAGAATGATCTTTATAGTCTTTCCAATCAATATGAGCTTGCATTTATATATAGATATGATCATCCAAATAACAAAATATAAAACAGTAGTTGCCACAAACTGTGCAGTACTTACACTATTTCTTAGACATAAACATCTAATGTCAAATTACATTTGTCTCGGGAAGAACTGCCTTATGAACTGTGCATTCAATTTCTTTGTTAATAAAATTTGTATTGGTATTTTTCAGTAAATTTTCAATACTATTTAACTTGTTTTACTGCCAGTTATGAAGTTTTAATACCGTATAATTTTTATAGTTGTCAGAATTGAAACTATTACTTGTCTGACTGTTCTGTCCAATAGAAAATATTGTATTATGAGTAATAGTTGGTGTTTTTTACATTTTAAGTCTTCACCCAATGTGAAAAATTGCTAGTATTGAAAACAAGAACAGGGTGTCTGAAAATAATGTTAACATTTCAGAACTTGATAATATAATTTCCAGACACTATGTATAACTGTTGATCAATGCAGTTCTAAATAACATAATTAAACACAATTCTCAGGTTTGTTGATTTAAAAAGAGGTTGAATCAGTTGGAGAAGTATATATATTTAATTACCAGCTGAGAATTAGCATTTTTCTTCATATTTTAAGATGTTTAGAGATTATTCACTACCCAAAGTTTTGTCCCAGTTCAGACTTGGCAACGAAATGACGAAGTTTGGACATATTTTTTTCTGTATTGTTGCACATTATGGATATTCACTTTTAAATGACTACTAATATCAGGTTTATCAAAAATAAAGTATTAATAAAAAGGTTCATTATTTGATTAAATCACATGCGCTTTTGAATAAATTAGATATAAGATATTCGCTGTTAATTTTGTTTCATAAAAACAATTTATTTTCATCATAGCTGAAAACGTGTACACTATGTGTTAAGTAACATAAACGTACTAGTTTATAATTAAAGACTGTCATGATAAACAAGTATAAATGGATCATCATTAGTAATATGTTTGAATTAGTAATCAATCACATGTATTTGTTAAACAACTCTCCTAAGAAAGGAAGGTTTGTATACAATTATTTATTTGTCAAGTTTGTACGGTTTCACAACTGGTCCTTTTTGTTTGTTTTCTCTCCACTACCATTTAATATCACTGATATTATTTATTCTGAATGTATTTCATCTAACATCAATTTCATGTTTTCACAACCTTAATTTTTTTTTACATCTAGAGGGATGTACATTTTCTTCTTTTCATACATGAACCTAAGAAAAACACAAAATTTTTCATAGTTTACGGCATTTCAGCTCTGTTGAGAAAGCTTATGTCATTAATAAGTTTGATAAGCTATGCAATAAATCAGAGAGATTTGTACAACAAGTGTTGTGTGAAGTGAATATAAGCCATTCCTGCTACATTAATAACTTACTAAAACAAGCAGTTTTACTAATTATATACATGTAGACACAATTAATTATTAAGTAAATCAAGCATAAAATCATGTATGCATAATAGCATATATATACCAGTTCTATAAGTTAATATACTTTCTGGTAAGACCTGCGTTTGTTTTGAACCTTAAGTTTTGTATATGTTTTAAACTTCATCTATATATTAAACTATATAACATATATATAATCAGTTTTTAAAAATGATTGTTTGTTTGGAATTAAGCACAAAGCTACACAATGGGCTATCTGTGCTCTGCCCACCACGGGTATCGAAACCCGGTTTCTACCATTGCAAGTCCGCAGACACTACCGCTGTGCCACAGGGGGGCTTAAAAATGATTAATGAAATAATTTTCATGGACTGATAGAATTAAAATCTTAACTATTGAAAGTGTCATTAACCAACAAATGTAATAACACATAAAGGTTTTAACTTTGTTAAACTTGGAAAAGACTAATAACAATAATAAAGATAATATAAATAAGAACAAATTATTCCTTTCACAATTAGACATTATGAAAAATTGTTCATTTTTTGTTATAGCAAAGCCATATTGGGCTATTTGCTGAATCAAACCCCTGATTTTAGCATTGTAAATCCAAAAACTTACCGCTGTACCACCAGGAGACCTGAAACAGTAATGATATCCAAATACAACTGGAATGAAGTTTAGATACTTTAAAAGCTACGTTTAAATTATATTAACACAAAGACAATTCAAAATGTTATATACCATCTTAATTCTGAGACATAAAAAAAAACCAATGAAAGTATTTTTCCCTGCAATAAATCAAACCGTTATATTTGTGGGAAAGTTATATTACATTACTGGGGAGAAACTATTTTTTTTTTTTATAAGTTCTTGATTTAGTTGTAATTTATATTTATGTATTATCTTGTGTTTCTTGTAAGCAAATTATGTTGTAGAAATAGAAAATTTATGTTTAAGAATAAATTTGCATAAATATCATGTCAAAAATGCAAATAATAGCGCATTACGTGTTAAAAAATAGACTAATAAATGTATTATGGAAAAATATACTTTACAATAACCTTTTTTAGAAATATTTCAATCTTGGCATTCTTGTGAAAAAAAAATTATTAGTGTTATTTATTAATAAATTTAAATCATATATAAAACTTCATGGTCAAAAACTTGAGAAGTTTGGTCAGTCTGACAAAATGTCTTATAAACAAAAAAAAAGTATTTCAAAAACAAGACTATCCTTGAAGATTTGAAACTGGTATTTATGCTTTTTATGTATGTTTTTGTTTAGTTAATTAGTAGTCACGATAAGTTGTAAACATTTCTATTTTGTTTTATTTTATTAAACACTATGCACACAAATCATTTAAAATAGTCATGCAAATTATGAGGAAAAATGGTATAAAATGTAACTACAGTAATGCCACCATTTTATTGTGTGCAAATGACCTGCATCAGAGTATAGTCATGTGTCCTTATACAACCAATCAAAAAGTGCTATACCAGTATATGTCTATGAGCCGTCATTTTAGGTTTAGTAGTAGTAGTAGTAATGTGAATTTAGTCTGGCTCCCAGGACTGAAATACCTCGTGACAAACATGTAAAAATTAAAGTTTCAGCTGTTCAAGGCTACTCCATGCAATAAAATTATGATAAGATTCTACGCTTCAATAAGAGCTGTATGCAAGACTGAAGAGGGTGCATGAAACTGGTACTGTTAAGTGATAGAAGTGGTCAACATAGAAAACCAACTCCCCCAGAACTGATATTAAGTATCTCAGGGTACGTTCTATACAAGGTAGACAACAGTCCAATAAAGATCTTCCCAACAACGTTTCAGTAAATATATGAGTGTTATTTAGAGAAAAGAAAAATACACATCAGCATAACGTGGTATTAATGTGTGTGTGTAGCTGCCCAGAAGACTCGGCCACTCAATAATATTTGGTATTTTTGAACTGCACCTGAATTACTGCTAATCATTTCTCCTTGCATTTAGGCATTGTAATTCATCCTTGTCAACAATGGTACAAACTGAATGATACTGGGTGTTATCACTTCGAGAGAAGAAACATGAGCTTGATACAGTTTTCAGTCAGTTTCAGCAGTACCAAAACAACAACCATAAATATGATATTCTTACCACCCAAATTCCTTCACATATCCAAAGAGCACAATTACTCCTGTCATGATGCTGCAGCAATTCTAAATCCAGAGATGAAAGTGTCCCTTTCCTAAAAATCCTGAAAATAATTGAAGCCAAGTAAGGGGGTCCGGCACCCAAAATCCTGCATTTTGATTCATTTTAGTACTTAAAATTCACTTAAACAAGTTACCCTATTTTTCTTACATCAATGATTATCAAATACATGTGAGAAATATCAAATCTGATTCCCCTAGTTAATGGATAATTTTCAAGAGTGCATTCTTTGGAATTCATAATTTTCACTATTAGATGTCAAAACTTATATAAAGTAATGCTTTTATAACTTACACTCAGTACTGCATATGTGATTTTGAAATGTGTATGATTCAACTGAGACTAAACAGTTCACACTATTATGAAATTGAATAGATTCATTATTAAAACATTGCTAAAAATAAATCAGACGTATATTTATTGTAAAATCAAACTCATTCGCATGGAACACCAAAATCTGATAAATAATTTTAAAAAATGTGTTTCTCCGAAAGAAAACCAGAGGTTTTCAAGATTTTTTAGAAATTTCCGGATATATACGGAAGACTTTCATTATTATAAATCCCTGTTGAGTAAAGAGCAATAAATTATGAAAATAAGAGTCATGCATGACTGAGTGTCATTCTATTAGGTAGTCTTTATTAAGTTGATACCCACTGCCTTTCGGAAATAAATGGTTAACCAAATAACTAAAATGATAGGGTTATTAGTGTACCACCTAAAGTGTTTCTGAAGTTCAGAAATGGAATAAAAAATAGCTGCCTTACAATTTCTTTGTTCATCAAGACATTACCAAGTAGAGCATGAATAATTTCAATCAGATGATCTTTTTGTCACACTTTGAAAGGTGACATTTATTTGAATGTTTAAAATGTTACACAGACAAAAACAACAAAAAATATTTATACCAATAACTTCACAAAGAAACTGTACAAACAAGACATGATCCAAGCAGAATGAAAAACAAAACCTGTATTTTACATGAGACATCATAAATCAAACTAAATTACTTAAATAATACTCGAAACATTGCCATTTTATTTTTACAACTTTTAATAAGTTGATGCATCGTTATGTGATGTTCATTTTGAGCAGTGTTAAGTAATCTTGCAAGTGAAATGCAGACTGTAGTTAAGTATAATTAGTGTATCAAGTACTTTTGCAAATAGATAATTAGAATTTAAATTTAATCTCTGTTTAACTATGTCTATTGAAAAATTTGTACCCATCATATGTACGACAATACTTTTAGCTGTGACTCGCACACACCTTTAGATATCTTGTAAGACACTATTTTTTGTCTCAATTTTCTGAGAAACTACTAAATGGTTGACTAGTAATCTAAAGAGCTTGTCAAACTTCTAAACACTTCGTTCTTTACAACCAATAGTTAAACACGCCCACATACAAGCACAGATCATCAGGATTTGTGAAGACTAGAGAAAATGTCGTCACACGTGAAGAATTCTAATAGTAATCAGAAGCTGGGATTTGTTGATCATCAGAAATAAAACCTTCCCACCAACGGAATAGGCAGTATTCACATACGGCATGCATTGCTCAACGAGTCTTAGCCACCAGAGGAAAGGATTACACGTAGTTTTATTGGGTTATTATTAGACAGTATATAAAGAACAGAAAACTTGTCATTTAAACTCTGACAAAATTTCACTTTAAATTCTTTTACTGCCTTGTAGGGTATTTGAAAATTTAACTTAGACTATAGTCTGGTACTTTAAAAGAAAAGAAGCTTGCCCAAGAAATATATCAACTGAAACTGAATTTGTAGGTTTAGGAATGTTCTAATGAGCATTTTCTGTGGTACTTACAAATATCATGAGAGAAATTACATCATATGTCACTTCGTAATATATAAAACAAGAGTCGAGAATACAACTTTTCAATATACCCAATAATGCAGAGACTAGTAACTGTACATATACATTGCACAACAGTTAAAAAAAAAAGGGGGGGTGGTGGTGAGAAAAAAAAATCTTGTAATTTACTATGTACAATTTTTCAGGCAAACATTACAGTGACAGTTGGATAATCTATCTAACTCTAAATTGGTCTTCAGCTTTTATCTTTAATACTAATTCTTAACAGAAGTGCAGCTACTTAATTCTGGGTTTTGTAGACTAGGGTGTTCAGGTTTCAAATGTGATAAAAGTACAATTACTTGGAAACACATATAACAGACAGTTATCTTTCACACTGCAAAATATAGTACAAAACGTAAAGCAAATAACAAAGAAAATACTAAATAACCAAAGATCACTTTCAGGTCAATCAGGTATCTATAGCAACACCAATATTAAAATACTTAATATAATATACGAAAATGTGTTCAATTTACAACTGAACAAAACAGGACTATGTTTGAAATCAATCTTAGGATCCTAGATTAAGAATGGTTAAAAAGGTATGAAAACAGTTTTTTTTTTTAAAGTTAACAATGCCGTATTTATAGGAAGACTCAATATTAAGTATTAACAAACACTAAAAAAAAACCTCTCAATTTGATGTTTTATATTAAGGAATATGGTAATGTTCACAAAAACTAATCTTTACTGCTTCTAGGCTGGAACAACATAGAAGCTTACTGTTAACGTAAGTTGCTTGTCAAGTTACCATTTTCTTTAATGTTAGATTTTTTTTAGTAGGTGTATGGAGACAACATGGGGATAATTAAATGTAGAATTATACATGGACTTTTCTATACATTGAAATACTTTTCTTTTATTTGCAAGCTTTCATTGGGCAACAATGTACAGGCTCGTTAGTACATCGTTGCCTGATGACAGCTCCGATAAGAAGGGCAAAAGCTCGCAAATAAAAGTATTTTAACGTAGAGAAAAGTCCGTGTATAATCCTACATATTAATTAACCTAGGTTATGAGTATTAAAAAACAATGGGGCTAATTATGTGATGCTCTAATTACCCATATATAATCAACCTGAAGTGACTGTTTCCAGAATTGCTTGTTCTAAACATAAAGGAACACTGCTTAAATATAACTTTCACATTCTATAGAAATTTTTTCTTCCTGAAAACATCAGATATTCCAATGTTTAGAAATACTGATTGCAAGCAAATACTCAACCACACAATGATGTAAGTACAGAATTAGAGGTAAAGATACAGTGTAACATGCAGTACAAATTAAGAGCAGATAGGACCACACAAAATCCTTCACTGTATAATTTTACTGATAAAATCCATTAGCCTCTTGGCATACTGTTCAGGGTGTACTGTGGATATTTCAGCTCCTGAACCATGCTTCACTGTCTTGGCTGCCGATGCTGTCCTCTTTCTCATCCCGTACTGAGTCAAGACGTCCACTAGGGCGATGAAATAAACTTCTTTTCGTGGAGCTCCTACAAGAGAAAGTGAGTTGTATCAATAATGCAACTACACACAAATGTAATACATGATGGAAAAGGTTCCTCTTTCTTTAATATATTAATTTACTAGAAACCATTCAACAAAATTTATCTGTTATACATTTTTAACTGAATAAAACAATCAACTAACATATTAATTGTGATGAAACATCTATTTGACAGTCATATTTATTCATATTTTCTACTGTTATCTAGTCTGCAGAAATGTACTTTCAATACAACTAACAACATAAATACTACACAGAATACTCAAAAACCTTTAAGTAAACTAAAAAATACAGGCATACTTGACTGATGATTTCAATCCTCTAGATAAAACTTAAAAATTTCAGCACATGTGAGAGAAAAACTAACAGCTATAGGTGTCCATGTGCAAGGCATATGTCATTCAAATTATCTTTGAAATTAAGGTTTTATTGGATAGAAATAGAGCATTCAAAGATTGTTTTTAAATATGATATATTTGAAGAACATCAGTATCACCGTATGGCAGGAGATTCCAGAAGTTATAATTTTCCTGATAGGTACATCCCTCCACTCACAAGATTAGCTTCTCTCATTTTGTGCTGCCCTCTGTATGCGAACTTTTTTAGAAATACATGCCACAAGCCTTCATCATCCCTCTGTTGGAATCGAAAATTCCAACATGTCTCTTATGCAAATCATCATGCATCACCTCTCCACCAATAGGAGAGCATTACTATCACGTGACGCATGCGACTCCCTCTACGTGCCACTACCGAACATTACTTTGAAGTTTGGCAGAAGATGCAAGCACTAGAAGATTGTGGGGAGGGAAGTACCTATTGGAAATACATTTTCATTTACAAAAATTATAACTTCCGATAAGGTACTCTCCCTCCACTCACAAAATTAGCTAGAATCCCACATTGAAAAGGATGAGGGACCGATGCTAAGAAAGCATGGGCATATCCCCAGAGGGCATCCAGAGGACACCCGAAAGGAAAGGAACAGATTAGATGATCTGAGGAGGGGCGACCGCACCACATCGTGAGCCAGTTATTCTCGCCGAG